CCGAGCTCAGCGCGAAGATGGTGGCCCCGGGGGCCGTGCACAGGCTGGGGCGGGAGACAGCGGCCGGTCGGCGCGGGCAGGGCCGGGCTCGCTCGGGCCGGCTGGGAAGGACGCTGAGGGGAATCGCGCGGGAACCCAAGAAGCCCGAGCAACGCCCCACCCCGTCACACCCCTTCCGCGGGTCGCCCCACCTGCGAGGCCCCCAGGCCGCCAGGCTCCGCAGCTCCCTCCACATGGATCCAACCGCTCGCTACTCGCCTGCCCGACCTTCCTGCACGCCTTCAACTGCGGGCAGCAGGCCCCGCCCACTCTGCGATCTGACTGCTAAAGCGCTCAGGGGCTCTGAACTGCCATTGGGCCATTTACAACATGTCCCGCCCACAGGTTGAAGCCTATAGTCCAACGAGTGCAGCGAAATGATTGCTCCCAACGGCAACATTGGACGGAATTGTTAGGGCCGTAGCGCTACGGGTATCCAGACGAAGGAAAGGAGAGGTGGGGGAAAGGACAGAGGTGGGCACGCAGGGAATCCCAGGGAGGCTGGGTCTGAGTCCTGGTTCTCCACCTTGCTCATTCGTAGTCCTAGGCAAAGCAAAAACGCTTGCGCTGTCTCCCTGCCCGAGAAAGGGGCCACATCTCAGCAATCGGGGAGCCTGAAGCAGGAGTGGTTCCAGCACACCCTGAGCAATTAAACGAGACCCTGTCTCACAGTAAAAACTACAAGGGGCTGGGGATGAGCTCCGGGAAGCCCAGGCCCTGGCCCAGGGAAAATCTTTTGGGGAGCTCCCTGCTGCCGCCGATCCCCTCTTCCCTCCCGCGCCCCGACCGCCGTTCCCCACCCGACACCCTCCTCCTCCAGGCCTCTCCCAGGCCCCCTCCTCCTGGAAGCCGTGCAGGAGCCCAGCGCAGCCCCCGCCCCGCCCGGCGCCCGAGTCCGGGGATCGCTTTCGGGTTAACTCGGGACAGCCGAGCCCAAGAAAGCGCTGAGCGGCGGATTTCAGGCGTGGAGGCGGGGCCTCGGGAGCCTGGCCGCGATCCTCTGGTTCTCGGCCGGGGCGGGCGGGCGCGGGCACCTGAGGGTCCGCGGGAGTCGGGCTGGGATCCCCATCCTGCCCTACTCTGTCATCCGCACAATCGGACGACACCCTTTGTTTCCAGTACACACCCAGCATCTGCTGTGTGCTCTCGGTGACTGGGCTTTCGCCAAGCTCCTAGCCTGGTGCAGAGGAACTTACCAGGACCCTGTCTCAAAATTAAAGAGAAGATAAAGGCTGGGGATGCAGCTCGGGCTGAAGGCTCTGGGTTCCATCCAGAAACAAAACAAGACAGAAGTTCGTTATTTGGAGTGTGCGTTTAGCCAGAGGGATTGTGTTTATTTAAACCTTGGCGGGAGTGAGGGTGGAATGTGCTGAGGCGTGCAAAGGTCCCGGGGCGGCCCGTGTCACCAGTGACCCCATTCTTGCTGGTGTGGGTGAGTTATTCCCAGAATCTCCCGGGACCAGGCCTGTCCCTCCCCCGTCCTGTCGCCTCCAAACAATCAGAATCTGCAGTCTTCAGATGGGGAAGCCGAGGCTCGGGGCAGAGACCAGACGGTTGCTTACGTTGGGACAATTTGAAGAATGCACTTTGGTGCGGGCGGGGACGAGCACCAGAGATCAGAGTGGGCGGGTGACGGAAAAGCCCAGAGAACCAAGCGGGCAGGCCCGAGAACCAAAGTGTGCAGGCAGGCAGGCGGCCGAGAACCAGAGTGACGCGCGGACCTGGAGGGAGCCGGCTCGGCGCGGGCGGGGACGAGAAGCAGCGCCGGGCACGGGGACGAAGCGGCGCGGGCGGGCACGGCCTTTGTCTCCTCCGCTCTCGGCCCCATGCGCCCGCGGCACCCCGGCGCCCGGGCCGCGCGCAGCCCTTGACCCAGCTCGCCATGGAGGAGCCCGCCTCGGGCGCCGGGGGCGCGGCCCTGGATGGGGAGCGGGGCAAGCGACCCCCGCCAGAGGGCGAGCCTGCGGCCCCCGCATCCGGAGTGCTAGGTATGTGTGCGACTGCTCGACCGCGCGGGGAGACGGGGGTTGGGGGGTCGGTGTTAAGGCCACGGTCCAGCCTGCTTCCGCCCGAGACCCGCTGCTCCTCGGGGCTGCGGGGACCTGCGGCGCGCGATGGGCCCCGCCAGGCCCGGTCACGCCCCTCGGAGCCCCGGCCACACGGGCTCTGCATCACAGCGGGCAGGGACGCTCCGGCCCCTCCGTGGAGCGCAGGGAGTCCCGCCGGCCCGGGTTCGAACCCGGACTCGGCTGTGTGACCTTGGGCGCGCGGGCCTCAGTTTCCCGGCCTGTGCGATGGGGTGGGAGCGGCGCCCACTTCCGGGCTGCTGTCCTAGGTGGGCAGGCGCCTGCTCGGGCTGCTCCTGCGCGCCCGCGATCGTGGGTTGGAGGCGGAGCTGGGCCTGAGCAGGAGTGAGGTGTGTACGGGCTGCCGGAGGAGGGCAGGGCCTGGCAAGGGCGCGGAGAAGACAAGAAGCTCGCCCGGCCAGGCGGGCCTCGCGTGTCAGGCAGAGCGCTGGGGCTGAGCCCGAGGTCGCATCTGGGCGTCGGTGGACCCCGGGGACCTGACCCCTGCCTGCTCCCGGCCCCCAGATAAGCTCTTCGGGAAACGACTGCTGCAGGCGGGGCGCTACCTCGTGTCCCACAAAGCATGGATGAAGACAGTGCCTACGGAGAACTGCGACGTGCTCATGACCTTCCCAGGTACCAGCGGGCCTCCTGACTCGGCCTTCCCGAGCGGGAGGAGGTGGGAAGTCCTGGGGCCTCTCGTGGCGAGAGCGATAGGTACCCGTGCCCCTTGGCAGACACGACTGACGACCACACGCTGCTCTGGCTGCTGAACCACATCCGCGTGGGCATCCCCGAGCTCATCGTGCAAGTCCGCCACCACCGTCGCACGCGCGCCTACGCCTTCTTCGTCACCGCCACTTACGAGAGGCGAGTGCCTGCCCCTGCCCCGCCCCCAGGTCGCCCCGTCCGTGCGGGCCCCCTGTGAGCCGCTGCCCTCCTCGCAGCCTGCTCCGGGGCGCCGACGAGCTGGGGCTGCGCAAGGCCGTCAAGGCCGAGTTCGGCGGGGGCACGCGAGGCTTCTCCTGCGAAGAGGATTTCATCTATGAGAACGTAGAGAGCGAGCTGCGCTTCTTCACCTCCCAGGTGGGGCCGGCTCCTGAGCCCTGGGCGCCCCGACTCTGGGCCGCCCACCGAGCTCACACCCTGTCCCAAACAGGAACGCCAGAGCATCATCCGCTTCTGGCTGCAGAACCTGCGCGCCAAGCAGGGGGAGGCCTTGCACAACGTGCGCTTCCTGGAGGACCAGCCAATCAGTGAGCGAGGCGGCGCCGACCCTCCAATCATAGGCAGTGAGATGGGTGGGGCGGGGCAAGAGGGCGGGGCCTAGGTCCAGCCAGTTAGGGATTAGTAAAGAGGAGGTCAACTAATGAATTCTAGGGGTGTGGTCTCCGTGAATGGGGTCTGGCCAATCAGCGCGTTGAAGGGCGTGGCTTTTCCAAAGGGGTTGGGCTTATCCCTTGGGAGGCGGGCCTGGCCTAGGTTCTTCCTCGGGTCTGGATAGGTTGTCAGGACCGTGGACAGCGCCCCGCATTCTGTGTGACGAGGCCTCGCCTCGGTTCCGCTGTGAAGCCACGCAAGCAACACAAGATCACCTTCAGATGACAGCTTTGCGTCGTTCCTTAGACAGGCAGGGCCACGAGCCGAGGCCTGATACCTTTATTTTAAAACATGGTTTGCCATGGGGCCCTGCCCTCCGGGTGCCCCCACTCTCCCGGCCACCCCTGCGACTCCCAGATTCTCAAGGAGAACGAGATGTTCGTCCATCCAGCCCTCCTCCCCTAGAAGAGCCCCTAGGGCCTAAGTGCAGGCGCGGAGCTTCGGCTTGGGTTCCAGCGGGGGGCAGGAGCAGGCCAGGCCAGTCCCTTGTCCCGTCCTCCTGCAGTCCCCGAGCTGGCGGCCCGCGGGATCATCCAGCAGGTGTTTCCCGTGCACGAGCAGCGCATCCTCAACCGCCTCATGAAGTCCTGGGTGCAGGCGGTGTGTGAAAACCAGCCTCTAGGTGCGGCCCGGGGCCAGGGGCTGGGCAGGGACAGACGGGGGGCCCGGGAGGCAGACGCGGGTGACCTACACCCATCCCCCTGGCAGACGACATCTGCGATTACTTCGGTGTGAAAATCGCCATGTATTTTGCCTGGCTGGGCTTCTACACGTCGGCCATGGTGTACCCGGCTGTCTTCGGCTCCGTGCTGTACACACTCACAGAGGCGGACCAGGTAGCGCGTGGGCTGGGGAGGCCGGCCCCCAGTGTCCTCTCGAGCCGCCGGCCTGACGGCCCGCCCTGCGCCGGCACCCGCAGACGAGCCGAGACGTGTCCTGCGTGGTCTTCGCGCTCTTCAACGTGATCTGGTCGACGCTGTTCCTGGAGGAGTGGAAGCGGAGGGGCGCAGAGCTGGCCTACAAGTGGGGGACCCTGGACTCGCCCGGGGAAGCTCTGGAGGAGCCGCGGCCCCAGTTCAGGGTCAGCCGAGAGCTGGGAGAAGAGGGGAAAGGGGGGTGCACAGGTGGGCGGGCACAGCAGGGGCTCTGAGGGAAAGGGGCACCCCCGGGGCGAGGGTGTCCTGCGGGAACCTGGACCAGGAGGGGCGGGAGGGGGTCGGGAGCGGGGTGGCCCTCTGGTCTCACGGCCCGCCCTATGCCAGGGTGTGCGTCGCATCAGCCCGGTGACCCGCGTGGAGGAGCTGTACTACCCGCCCTGGAAGCGGCTGCTCTTCCAGCTGCTCGTGAGCCTGCCCCTGTGCCTGGCCTGCCTCACCTGCATCTTCCTGCTCATGCTTGGCTGCTTCCGGCTGCAGGTAGCCCTGTGCCCTAGCCCTGGCCTCCGGGACGGCCCCGCCCGCCAGCCACCCTGAGCCACACCCTGCCCGCCGCAGGAGCTGGTGCTGAGTGTGAAGGGGCTGCCGCGCCTCGCCCGCTTCCTGCCCAAGGTCGTGCTGGCCCTGCTGGTCAGCGTGAGTGCCGAGGGCTACAAGAAGCTGGCCATCTGGCTCAACGACATGGGTATGATCTGCAGGGGTAGGGGGTCCCCACAGCCCTGGGGTCTCCACTGCCCTGGGGGCCCAACTGGTTCCTCACAGCCCTCCTTGGCCCCCAGAGAATTACCGGCTGGAGAGCGCCTACGAGAAGCATCTCATCATCAAGGTCGTCCTGGTGAGTGGCCGCCACCGGCGAGGCGCAGGGGGCCTGCGGGAGCGGAGGTGACCGTCGCCTGCCTCCCTCCTGCCCGCAGCTCCAGTTTGTCAATTCCTACCTGAGCCTCTTCTACATTGGCTTCTACCTCAAGGACATGGAGCGTCTCAAGGAGGTGAGACCCTGCTCCGGCAGCAGCCGGTGGGGGGCCGGACCTGGCCCAGGGGTCCCAGGGCTCCCGGCCTCTCCCCCCCCTCCTCCATCCTTCTCTCCTCTCTGTCCGTCCGTCCATCCGTGCGTCCTCTCTCTGCCTGTCCATCTGTCTGTCCATCTGTCCGTCGGTCCCTCCACAGCTCCTGCTCGTCCTGTCCCTGTCCCAGAGCCTCGAGCGGCAGCTTCGGGCGGTACTGGTCCCGCTCGTGGCCCTGCGGTTCCGCCTGCTCCTCCTCTCCCTCCGGGCTCTCCTGCCGTCAGCCCGGGCCAAAGTACGGGCAGGTGGCGAGGCCACGGGCCTGGCCAGGCGGGCAGTGGCTGTGCTGGGGCGCATGTGCAGCGGGACTGGGGTGGCGAGGACCCAGCGCAGGAGGATGGGCCTCGCAAGGCCTGGGGGCGGAGTGCTTGGTGCCAGGCCTGGTGCTGCTCGAGCCAGGCTGTGCTCCGTGGCAGTCAACACGGCTGAGTGCCGATCCCTGGTGTCCAGGGACATCTGGGGTGGTGCCCTGTGCTGGGCCTGGCCCCCTGCCCCCAAGCGGCCTCTCCCCAACCCCTAGATGCTGGCCACCCTGCTGATCACCAGGCAGTTCCTGCAGAACGTGCGTGAGGTCCTGCAGCCCCACCTCTACAGCCACCTTCGCCGCGGCGAGCTCGGCCTGCGGGCCCTGGCAGGGCTGGCGCGGGCCCTGCTCGGTGGCCTGAGCCTCCGGCGCCCTGCACCCCGCCTCCTCGAACCCCAGGCTGACGAGGGTGGCAGCGGGGCGGGGGGCCGAAGGTGTCTTGGCGGGGGCTGCGGGGCGCCTGAGGAGGAGGAGGAGACGACTGCAGCGGAGAGCAGGCCCTCGGGGGAGGGGGGGGAGGTCAGGGACGGGCCTGGGGGTGCGGAGGAGGACGAGGAGGAGGACGAGGAGGAGGAAGATGACGACGATGAGGGTGAGGATGGTGGCCTCCTGGACTGCGGGCTCCGGCTGAAGAAGGTCAGCTTTGCCGAGCGGGGGGCCGGGCGGCACCGGCCTGGCCCAAGCCCAGAGGCCCTTCTGGAGGAGGGCAGCCCCACCATGGTGGAGAAGGGGATGGAGCCGGGTGTGTTCACGCTGGCTGAGGATGACGACGAGGCAGAGGGCCCTCCTGGGAGCCCTGAGCACGAGCACCCAGCCGTCCTGCTCCGCCGGGCGGGGGGCGAGGGCCGGGACCAGGGCCCTGAGGGAGGCCGAGACCCGGAGCCCGCCTCTGGAGACCCGGCAGCAAAGCAGAGGCGGCAGAACCGCTCCTCCTGGATCGACCCGCCCGAGGAGGAGCACTCGCCCCAGCTCACCCAGGCGGAGCTGGAGAGCTGCATGAAGAAGTACGAGGTGCGCGGTGCGGCGGCCGGCTGCGGCGGGCGCGCAGGGAGGAGCCGCCGGGCCGCCCCGCCCATGCCCCTGCCGCCCACCGTCCGCAGGACACCTTCCAGGACTACCAGGAGATGTTCGTGCAGTTCGGCTACGTCGTGCTGTTCTCCTCCGCCTTCCCGCTGGCCGCGCTCTGCGCCCTGGTCAACAACCTCATCGAGATCCGCAGCGACGCCTTCAAGCTGTGCACGGGGCTGCAGCGGCCCTTTGGCCAGCGCGTGGAGAGCATCGGCCAGTGGCAGGTGGGCAGGGCCGGGCCGGGGGTCCTGGGTCCAGCCTGGGCACCGGCCGGGACCAGCCAGGCCCACTTAGCCCCGACCCCCGGCCCACAGAAGGTAATGGAGGCCATGGGCGTGCTGGCCATCGTGGTGAACTGCTACCTCATCGGGCAGTGCGGGCAGCTGCAGCGCCTCTTCCCCTGGCTGAGCCCGGAGGCGGCCATCGTGTCCGTGGTAGTGCTCGAGGTGGGCGCTGGCGGCTGGGCGGGGGCGGGGTGGGGCGGTGTCGCCGGGGCCTGCAGCTCCCTGTCTGTGCCCGCAGCACTTGGCTCTGCTCCTCAAGTACCTCATCCACATGGCCGTCCCTGACCTCCCGGGCTGGGTGGCCGAGGAGATGGCCAGACTCGAGCAGCAGCGACGGGAGGCCTTCAAGGTAGGCTCCCGGCTCAGCGCCCAGCCTGCACGGTGGGCTGCACAGCAGGGAGACCCTTAGTGCGAAGGAAAATGTGCGGGTGGGCTGGTCCCCACCCCCAGAGCTCAGCCAACCACAGGCTGCAAGTCTCTAAAAGGTAAACTTCTCTGCTGTCATCCCAGCACTGGGGAGGCTGAGGCAGGAGGATCACGAGTTTGAGCCTTCTCAGGGCAACTTAGCTACACCCTATCTCGAAACAAAAACAAACTTAAAAGGGCCGAGTGTAACTCAGTATGGAGGGCCTGGATTCAAACCTCAACGCTGAAGGGAAAAAGAAAAGCACTTGTACTGAAGATCCATAGACCTTTTCCTTGCTTTTATTTTTATTTTTTTCATTTATATTTGTTTTTGAGACAGGGTCGCACTGTGTTGCCCAGGCTGGCTTGCACTGCTGGCCTCAAAGGGCCTCAGCCTGCTGAGTAGCTGGGACTGTGGTGCTCGCCCTGTGCCCACCCCAGCAGTGCGGCGTCCCATTTACACAGCACGGGAGTCGCGGCAGGTGTGGGAGTCCTGGGAGCCTGGCAGGAGGCGCGGGTTCGGTGCCCGCAGCACAGCACCTTATAGAGGGTCTTGAGCGCCTCACAGTCCAGAGCAGTTGCTCATGGATCTGGAGCACAGCTATGATCATGCCAACCAGCCCCTCCAGAGTCCTGGGGTGCCAGGGCTGTCCCCCGACCGTCCCGCGGCCCAGGGACACAGGGTGCTCCCCAGGAAGGGCACAGCGTCTTGATCCTGACAGTCACCCACACTGCGTGCTGGGACACGGGCTGGACTTTTTTCTTCTAATGCTGGGGATGGAACCCAGGGCCTTGCATGCGCATGGCCCAGCGGCCATTCATTGATTCAAAGCCACGGGGGCTTCGGGTCACAGGCCAGAGCAGCTTCTCGGCGGCCAGGCAAGGTTTAAGAAAGCAGGGCCCGGCCGGGCCTGTTTCCTCCCAGGCTCCTGAGACGGCCTGGCTCCCAGCCGGGGACAGTTGGTGGCCAGCGACATATGTTTTCTTCCCAATTCCCAGAAAGCAGCGGCACGGGGCCAGGGATTCTGCTGGGGCCAAGTTCACGTTTGGATCCCTTCCCACTTTGCCCAGAGTGCCCCAGGGGCCAGGGCTGCGGGCGAGCCCAGGGAGCACCCATCTGCCCACGCCCACAGGGCCCAGGAGCAGCTGAGGGGTCCCGGGGACCCCGATGAGTGTTCGGAGGCCCTGCCCCCGCACAGCCCAGGGCGGCCCTCGCCCCGGCCCTCTCCTGCTCACGCCCGCCCCGTCCACAGAGGCACGAGCGCCAGGCCCAGCACCGCTACCAGCAGCAGCAGCGGCGGCGGCGGGAGGAGGAAGAGCGGCAGCGCCATGCTGAGCACCACGCCCGCCGGGAGCGGGACGCCGGCCGGGGGGAGGCTCGGGCCGAGGGCGCAGGGCTGGACGCCGCCAGTGCCGAGAAGCCCTCTGCCAAGGCCAAGGGCAGCGGGGCGGGAGGCCACGGGCAGGAGCGGCCCAAGCGCCCCGGCTCACTGCTGGCACCCAACAACGTCATGAAGCTGAAGCAGATCATCCCACTGCAGGGCAAGTTCCTGTCATCCGGGGCCACCGCCGGGGCCGGCGCCACAGCACCCGGCCCCCGGCCGGCCCCCGCCCCGTCACCCACGGGAGGGGACACCCGCCTGCCTGCCTTCCTCAGCTTCAAATTCCTCAAGTCGCCCGAGACCCGGCGGGACCCGGAGCGCAGCCACTCGCCACCCAAGGCCTTCCACGCCACCAAGCTCTTCCCCTTCGGCGGCGCGCGGGCCGAGGCCAACGGGGCAGGCGCGGGTGGCCAGGCCCGGCAGGACCCAGCCCCCGGTGGTGGTGGTGGTGGCGGCCGGGCCCCAAGGAGTGGGCCAGTGGACGAGGCCTCAGCTGAGGAGCGGGAAGTGCCCCGGCCTGAAGAGGAAGGCTCAGGTCACAAGCTTTAACTCGGGGTGGGGATGCTGCGCCCTGGCTTGGGTGGGAGGGTGGCCAGCCCCGGAGCCCTGGCCCAGCCCACGCGGGTCCCTGCCGAGCGGGAGGACCCTGAGCCTGCTCCCCCAGGAGAGGGGCGCCTCCACCCCGCCGACCGCCCGCACCCAGCTCCCTGGGGGCCCAGACCCCCGGCCTCTATGCAAACCCCGCGGGCGCTGTTCAGGGAGCCCCAAGCCAGGGAGTCTGGTTCCCCGCCGCACCTGTGCCACCCAGGCCAGGCCTCCGGGTCTCTGCCATGCTGCCCACCGCCCCAGCCCCGCCTGGGCTCCGGCGGCCACTGCAGGACAGGGCCACAGGTCAGAAGCCAGAGGGACTCCTCCTGCCCCTCCCCAGCCTGAGGCAGGGACACCCTCAAAGACGCCCAGGGAGGTGGCCCACCGGCCCCACTGACCCAATCAGAGCAATAAGGCCTTTCCTGCACCTGCGCCGGGAGGGAGCCACGGGCCAGCAGGGCGACACGGCCCGGAACGGCCCCTCTCCCTCCGCAGGGACAGCACCAGGCCCCACAGGCGCCCCTGCCCTCCGCACGCGCCGCAGCCGGAGCCCTGCACCTCGGTCCCGGCCCCCGACACCGCCTGCGGGCTGCTGGCAATGGGACCCACCCTGGGGCTGCGGGGGTGAGGCTGCCGCCACCCACCCGAGCCCCCCGGCTGCCACTGTCGCTGAGTGCCCGCCCTGCGCCCTGGCCATGCCCGCACCCCCACTGCAGCCCCTACCAGGGGACGCCAGCTTCTACAGCCTCCCGCTGCCACCGGAGCTGGAGCCGGAGCCCCCCGAAGCCCCCACACCCGGCCCTGGCCCTGGCCCCAGCCCCAGCCCCAGCCCCCAAGCAGTGTGCTGGCCCGGTGGCTGGCACTAGCTGCCTCCCGCCTCCGACATATGCAATAGCAGTCAGCAATGTGGGCCTCGTTGCCCAGCAAGGCTGCCCCTTCCAGGGCAGCTCCCCTCTGCCGTTTTCCTTTCGACCAGGATTGGGGCACAAAAGGTGCCCCAACACCCATAGGCAACACACACACACAGAATAGGCAATTATTTATTTGTTTTTAATTTATTTTGTCATATTTTTGTAAAACGGCAGCAATGCAATAAAAAGTCTATTTCGACAGCGCCCAGGGTGAGTGTGGCGTTCTGGGCTCGGGCCGGCTGACCGGGCTCCTGGAACCATCTCAGGCTTTGCAGAAGCTCCAGATTTCCCCACGACGGGGTGACCTGGGCCTTGGGACTGCAGAGCCCCCGGAGCTGGCCCTAGCATCCTAGATGAAGTCAGCAGTGCCTCGGCCTGGTGGGGGTAAGGGTGGCAGTCCTCTCCCTGCGCTGGGCGGCAAGGAAGAGACGGTCATTCTGACAGCCACCTCCAGGGAGCATCTGGCACCAGGTCGGCAGGGAGGGAGGGACAGATGTGGACACCGGGAGACAGCTGGCACCAGGAGAGCTGGGGGGCAGCCTGGTGCAGCAGTCAGCCGTGAATCACGGGCCCTCAGGTGTGGACCTGGGGTGTGTGCATTCTCATCCGAATGTGAGGGCTCAGGGCCTGGCCGGGGCACCCGGAGGCAACGGGCAGCCTGCGCCAGCAGAGGCGGGGCAGCGACTGCCGAGCAGGGTGGTGAAGGGGACTGCGAAGGCCAGGAAGCCCGCCTGCAGCACAGGGACGGGGCCAGCTCCTCAGAGGGGACAAAGACGCCTGACGCCCAGGGGAAGGGTGCACGCCCAGCCCCACCATCTGCCACCAACCAGGTGACACCAGGCACCCCGAGGGCTGGCCGACCCCAGCAAGCTCCCCGCACTTCGGCACAGCCCACACCCAGAGCCTGCACGACCAGGGCCCGGCGAGGGCAGACACAGGAGCACGCCGAGAGCCGCCCAGTGGCACCTCAGGGAGCCCCGTGGCCCTGCAGCCCAGCACCGCCACGATGGCGTGACCTGTGGGTGACCTCCCGACATCGCCCTGCTCTGAGCTCGATGCCCTCACCAGCCCCAACGCCCCAGCCAAGCTCCCAAAGCCACAGCCACCTTCAGGGCCCCTTGGGGTGGGTGGGCGGGAGCGGTGCACCCAGGCCAGGAAGCAGCCCCTCGCCCAGCCGCGCCCACCGGTGGCACCCGAAGCGGCGTAACCGTCTCTGGCAGGGTCCCCTCCCAGGCACTCTGCCTGGCCGTGTGCCGGGACCCACGCTGTCTCTCTGGGCTGAGCCGGTCCTCAGGACGCAGTGATGGGCGTGGCGGGCAGCCGCTCCGCCGTGCCTGCAGCCCTGACGTGGCCGCAGCAGGCTGAGGAGAATCCGCTGGCGCGGGGCATGGCACGGCCCCTCCTCGCTCCCCGCTGTGCCGACAGGAGGATGACGGTGGGCTCCGTCCTCCCGGCCGAGGCGGGCGGAGCAAAGACGCGAGGTGGAGTAGGAAAGATCCTTTATTGGGGTGGACACGGAGCACGCGCGAGTCCAGGATAAAACCGCTAACACGAGCCCAGGCCGCGGCGCCCTGCGTGGGGACACACGGGGCAGCTCGGCTGGCCCCACCCGGCCCCACCCCTGCCGCCGGCGGCGGCGGGACCCCAGCCTGAGACACACAGGACACGCAGGGTCCCGGGCTGGAGACCTGGGCAGGGAGGTGGGGTCAGGTTACTTAAAAAGCATCTACCGACATCTCACTACTGGGTCTGAGTCCCCTTTAACCACCGCGTGACACGTGTTACAGCATAAATAAAAACTCAAGGAAAATAAATACATCGGCTCCTATGAGGTTGGAAGTGGTGTGGACGGGGAGGGAGGGCGGCCAGCGGGGCGGGCGGGCGCTTACACACGGGGCGGGCGTCGGCCTAGGTGTCCTCGTGCATGTCGGGGCTGTCCGTCCGCGCCACCTTGCGGGGCGGCGCTGAGCTCTCGCCCTCCAGCTCCACCTGCTCCTGGTCCCTCTTCTTGGCAGCATTCTGGCAGGGCGGGGACAGAGCGTGAGCGGCCCCACAGCCCCGGCAAGGGACGCGCAGACTCCCAGCGACCCACACAGCCTGACGCCACCGCGCCTGGCCAAGGCAAAGGGACGCCTGGGAGCCACCGGGGCGCCCTGCCTCCCTCGGGGGTCTCCTCTCCCGGCCGCTGGAATCAAGACCAGGGCCAAAGGGCACAGGAAGCCCGGATTTCCTGTGCGGTTGCTGGGGTCCCTTCAGACCGACCACTGTGACACCAGCTTGGGACAACCCGGCCCTGTGCAGTCGGGCGGATGTCCACTGACCACAGCAGTATGAAAGCTCTGCCACTGGCCGGGCCACGGGGCTACAGGCCGGGGAGACAGCTCTTGGTTGTCACTACAGGGGCGAAGCCAGGACCTCGGCACAGTGCTGCACCCCCAGCTGTTTTTATTTACTATGAGGCAGGTCTCATAACACTGCCCAGGTTGAGCCTCCTGCCTCAGCCTCTCCGAGTGTCACCTGCACCTGTAACTGTGGGCTGGGGTGGGGCACTGGTCTCCCCTCCACACAGCAGAAAAAGCTGAGATTCTAGGGCACTGCCACAAAACACACCTAATGAGGGCACAGACGGTGGGCTTGGCCTTAGCACAGCCTGGCCCCCAACTCCCCAGCATTAGGCCACTGAGGCCACAGCGCAGCTGCTGTTTCCTTTGGAATTTCTTCCATCTCCTGGAGCACCTGGTGAACTCCTACTCCATCTTCAAGGCCCCACTCAAATCCCCCTTCTCTCCATCACTCAGCTCTGCCCACTCAGAACCTGTGCTACCTCAATTCCCAGCTCCTGAACCCCATGTGCCTTACCTTTTTGTCCCATTGCTGATGTAGGTAGCGTAGAAGGATGTTTGTCTTTTCTGTCACAATGACTGTGAAGGAGAAAGAAAGCAGCAGAGATGGCTGGCCCACTCCTCCCTGGCCCTTGGCCCAGGCCATCTTCTCAGGTCAGGAGGGGGTCTCGGAGAGCACATGATTCCCGCCCCAGTGGGCCACAGGCAGCGCCCCGTCTCCCCCAGGGCTGCAGGCCCCACCCTGGCCCAAAGGCACATAGCGCCCAGTGAGGGTGCCCGCCCAACCTGCAGGATCCCAGCGATTCTTTGGTTTTTTGTTTTTTACAGGGCTAGGGCTAAAGGCGGGGTCTAGGACTGGCCCCACCTGTGAGCCACACCCCCAGGCCTTCTTTTCCTTTTTCTTTTCTTTTTTGTCTTTTTGAGACAGGGTCTCACTATGCCGTTCAGGCTGGCCTTGAGCTCCCTTTATAGCCTAGGTTGGTCTCAAACGCACAAAGACTGCCCTTCCTCAGCCTCCCGAGTACTGGGATTACAGGTGTGCACCACCATGCCCGGCTCTTATTTTCTTTTGCGACTAGGTCTAAGCCAGTAAGTTGCCTGGGTGAGGCTGGAACTTGTAGTTCTCCTGACTCGGCCTCCCAGGGCTGACACAACAGGCAGGTGCCACGGTAGCCAGCACAAGACTTGCTCTCACCACTGCCAACGCTATGACCAAGTCCCCCACCCTGCAGCACCCTCTGTCGGGCCTGGCCCCACGGCCCCTCTAGGCCTGGCGCGTCCTCGCTGGGGGCCTGCCCCTCTACTCCCTCCCTGCCTGGGGCTGTCTGTGCCACAAACGTGAGCTGCAGCCCCAGGGCTCACAATCTGACCACAGGGCCAGCGCCAGGGCCAGCAGCTGCGAGATGGGGCCCAGCGGAGCCCCACCAGCCTAGGTCCAGGCTATGTAGAGCAATCAGCAGCCGAGCCCCACCCTCCAGGGCAGGCAGGGCTGCAGGCGGCTCAGCACCGGCCACACGCAAGGCCCTTGCTTCCTCTGCTCCAGCCCCAGCACCGCAAAATTACAACGAAGAAACAAGGGCAGGAGTGGAGGGCTCATGCACGCGCCCACCCCCGAGCCCGGCCACGGCGACTCACTCTGTTCTGATGGGTACTCCCGGGTGGGCAGATAGACGGAGGGGCGCCGGTTCTGCAGGAGGAGCGAGGCTCAGGCGCGCGGCACACCGCGTCCCGCCGCCCCCAGCGCCCCTGCCCGCTCAGCCCCGCCCCCGGGGCTCCCAGAACACACTCACCGAAGCCTTGCACACAGAGTCAGCATGGAATCGACTAAAATTGCTCTTGTTGTACACGGGCAATCCTTTCAAAAAGTCTGCCTGGAAGACACAGAGAGGAGAACGCGAGAGTCCTGGGGCACCGTCGGGCAGTGCCGGCAGCACTTGTTTTCCTCTGCTTGGTACCAGCGTCGGGTACCATCCCGTCCCCACACAAGGTCGCCAGAGAGCCTGGCAAGCAGCAGCCAGGCACGGGGGCGAACGCCTGTGATCTCAGCACTTGCGAGGCTGGGGCAAGAGGGTCACTAGTTCTAGGCCGGCCCGGACGATACAGCAAGCCCATGTCTCAAAAAGATAAACACAGCCACGTGCATGGTGGCTCACACCTGTCACCCTAGCACTCCGGGGCCTGAGGCAGGAGAGTCACAAGTTCGAGGCCAGCCTGGGCTACATAGGGAGCTCAAGGCCAGCCGGAACACATCAACCGTGTGTCAGAAGACAACCAAATAAGTAAGTACAGCAAACCAAATATACGAAGTCACCCTGCAGCAAATCAGCAGCAGCGAGGAGGGACCGTGCCCCAAAACAGCACAGGACAAGGCCTGGCACTGCTCCCCGGGCACACGTCGCATGCTGGGACACAGGGTCTTCTCAGTGCTCCTGCGACAGAAGGTCTGTCAGTGCTGAGAAACCCCCGGGCCACTGTGAGAATCACCAGAAGCAGGGTGCAGAGCCCCAGCCTACAGGCTCGGGGCGCCCAGGCACACCCACATAATCACAGCACATTTGCGAGGCTGAGGCAGGAGCATCCCTAGTTCAAGCACAAGCTGGGCAACTCAGTGAGACTCTGCCTCAAAATTAAAAACTAAAAGAAAAAGCTTCAAGAAAGACTTGGGGGCCGGGGATACAGCTCAGCCGCACAGCACCTGCCTGGCAAGAACAAGGTCCTGAGTTTGATTCCCAGTACCAGAAGAATGACAAAGACGGGGTGCAGCTCAGGGTGAAGGCCCTGGGCTCCATCCCCAGAAGGAAAAGACGGGCAGGGAGAAAGAAGGAAAGAAAAGTGACCTGGAAGCCCCAGCTTAAATGTGCCACCCTTTTCTCCCTCCCTCCTTCCGTCCCTCCGTCTCCCTCCCCCTGCCTCCCAGTGCACCCCCCACAGAACCCCCACAGTGCCACAGCCGGGCCTCATTCCCACGCTCCGAGCTCCAGTTCAGCCTTAGAAAACCCCACTCAGTGAAGCCCACAGTTTTGTGACTGTCAGCCGGGGTGCTCCGGGGACCCTCAGAGTGGACCTGCCCGAGGGAGGGGCTGGCCCTTCCCACGTCCCACCACCGCGCCGGGCCACCCCGGCCCCCCGCGTCTGCAGGCCCAGTGACTCCAGAGCCCGAATACAGCGCACTTGCTCTTTCCAAGTCCTGGGCCCGACCCTGGTGGCCAGGCTACACGAGGTGCACCCAGCGGGGCTCCCGGGACCACAGCACTGCGCCCGATCTTGTGACTCAGCCACGTGGCCGTGGCTCCCCACACCGGTGAGACTTCGGCAGAAAGGTCGCCTGTCATTCATCTCAGAGGCCAAGCACCTTCCGTTAGGTGACACGACTGGAACCCTCAGGTGCATCTCCATCCCAGGGGTTCCAGAGGACCAGAGCCAGGTAGACAGCTTCCTAAAACCCCCCAGGGTGGGGAGCTGGGGGCCGGCATGACCTGCCTTCCTCCATTCAGTGGGGCCTCCTCAGGCAGCTGCTACCCAGCAGGCCCACGCTGGGAACCGGGGCACCGGCGTGGGCCAGCACAGCCCCTCCTGTGGGAGCCAACGGGGCACAGCGTGTGGGAAACAGCACCGCTGGTGAGGCCCGGACAGCAAGGCCCAGGGCGGGCAGCGGGGACCGTGACGCAGGAGGGGCCCGTCTCCGCTCCAGCCCTGACTGCTTCCTGCCACTCCCAGGCACGTCCCCATCTCTATGTGCAGCACCTACCACCACCCCACAGCCCAGACCACCCTGCTCAGCCACTGTCCATCTCTGGTTTGGACAACAGCCTCCCTGGCTAGACTGGCACCTGGCTAAGGGCACCGGGCAGGGCAGGGTGACTCTGGCGGGGGTTAATTCAATCCAGCTCCACCCCTCCCTCTGCTTCCCCAGTGACCAGGCATGAGCACAGGGGTCAGCGCAGGTGAAGAGCTGCAGCTCAGAGTACCCAGGTGTCCAGCGCCAGCATCAAGCTGTTGGTGCGGAATAAATTCCCAAAGACAGGCCAGACTGCTTTCTGTGAGCTGCTCCAATACCCAGCCCAGGGACCAGCAGGAAGCTACACTCAGCCAGACCAGCCCTGAAGGACTCCAGGGACACCTTCCTGTGTCCACCCCAGGGAGCCCCCGCAGGGACACAAAAAGGCACGATGGAAAAACTGGGTCCTGAGTCAGGAAGGGATCTGGGGAGAAGGCACTCACAGGAGAAAGACCAGCAGAGGCCAGGCAGCACATGCAAAGGCCCTGGGTCAGCAGGAAATGAAGTTGTAGGAAGAGCAAAAGGCCAGTGGGGCTGGGGCTTGAAGAGGGGGAGATGAGGTCACAGAGGCAGGAGGGACCTTGGGGGCCATGGGCAGGGGCTGTGTTCCCACAGAGCTACACAGGAAGCCCCAAGAGGGGGCTATAAGTCAGCAACTACTGCAATTGGATTCATTTCTTTAAAAACTGCTTGTTCCATAGCCAGGCGCGGTAGTGTAGGCTGGTAGTTCCAGCATCGGGAGGCTGCAGCAGGAAAATATCTGGGAAGGCAAGGCCAGCCTGGGCTACATAGCGAGTTCAAGGGCAGCCTCAACTATACAGCGAGACCCTATCGCAAAAAATCAAAAACTACAGATAAAGTAAAAACTCCTGGTTCCAGATGCACTAGCGACTGCCAAAGGGGCAGGGTACCGGCCGAGGGGCCAGGGGGGAGCTGGGCAGGCATCCGGGCCGTGGCGGCCGGCCGGGCTGCGGCGCGTTCTGGAGGCGGCCCGCGGGACGC